GTGCTCCTTGCTGTTGCTGTGGCAAACCTGTCGGTGCTTGCTGATGACTCCGTGCTCCTTGCTGTTGCTGTGGCAAACTTGCTGATGATTGCGGTTTATTCCACACTTTTTGTTGTTGCTGTGGTAAAGCTGCTGAAGCTTGCTGTTGACCCCATGCTCCTTGCTGTTGCTGTGGCAAACCTGTCGATGCTTGCTGATGACTCCGTACTCTTTGCTGTTGCTGTGGCAAACCTGTTGATACTTGCTGATGACCCCATGCTCCTTGCTGTTGCTGTGGCAAACTTGCTGATGATTGCGGTTTATCCCACACTTTTTGTTGTTGCTGTGGTAAACCTGCTGAAGCTTGCTGTTGACCCCGTGCTCCTTGCTGTGACAAACCTCTTGATGCTTGCTGTTGACTCGTTGTTTGTTGCTGTGGTAAACCTGCTGAAGTTTGCCGTTGACCACGTGCTTTTTGCTGTTGCTGTGATGAACCTAACAGTGTATAATTTTATTTAATAGGAAAGCCAAAAAACATCCGAAAAATACAGATGTAAAATATATATGTAATATATAAATATATATTATTATGAATCTGGAAATATGTAATAATGATATATTATTATATAATCTTATTACAATCACATACTATATATTTGTAATTTCATATATTTTTAATAAAATATAGAAGATATATAATTAATATTTGAGTATACTATATATTTTTATACATATATACCTGATCCTTGTGACTTCTGCTTTTTCCTTTGTGTTTGTTGAATCCATTCTGTACTATCAGCATCGTCTGTAGTTATAGCTTTTTTCAATAATAACATTTTATTGATATAGAAATATTTTTTTACAAAGAAAGGTAAATACAATTATATAGTAATCTCTCTAAATATTCTCACTCAAGAAAAAATAAACCAATAATGTAAGATGTCAATGTCTACAATGAACTTTTGATGAGAGTTTACTCAATGTGCAAATTACACACACACCCACACACACGCACGCACACACACACACACATTTTCTTTATTATATTTATATTAATTTTCATTTTTTGTACCTGATACTTTTGGATTTTCTGTTTCTTGAATCTGACATTTATCAGAAGTTTCTTTGGCAGTTGATATTCCTGAAGATGATCCTGCAATAGGTGTTTCTGCAGCTTCTGCGAATGTATCGTGAGTCTCAGGTTTTTTACTCCCTTGATTTTTCTTTTTTCCTGCAACATGTATCATATTCTTTGTTGCATCTGTATTAAAGAGCTGAACTAAACTGAAATTGACAACTGTTTTGTAATCATCTTTAATAATCTGACTGAAAATGAAGTCATACTAAAAAAAATGTTGCACAATATTTATAGTATTAAAATTATAAATAAACTAATAAATTAATTTCAATTTGTTTTTATATACAAGTATAGTATACATATGTGTATATATAGTGTTGATTTGATATTTAAATAGATAATAAAAAGTACTTGTCATTGAAAACACCATAAATCACTGGCTAATAAAGAACGTATGTGTAATGAAAAAATTTTGCAACGCAAAAACATTTGTATATACATACCTTTTTATCGTTTGAATATACATACCTTTTTTAGTCATTTTGTTTCGGGTATATACGCCACGAACTACTACAAATGTTGTTTTATCTCAATCTCTTACTCCAATAATTTTCAACGTTTTCTCTTGTTCTTTTCCGTGCAAAATATCCAATATCACTTGTGTAATTTTGCCACGTAATGGCAGTTATGACGTGTGACCATCATCTAAAGGCCTTCGCACATAAATTGTTGTAGCTCTAAAGCCTATGTCACACTACGGATTGGGATTAAGATTGGATTGAAATTTGACCAATTAGAAGAAAGAAAATCAATCCTAATAAGTTTAGTGATCTTCGCTCTAATTGGCCAAATTGCAATTCAATCTCAATCCTAATCCGTAGTGTGACATAGACTTAACGTAAAGTAAATCGTAAGAATTTACCAATTACAATTGTTTATATTCGAAAATAGCAGCCTTATGTTTTGAAAATTCGTAATATGATTGGCTAATTCTTACGGTATATTTTAAGGCCGTCTGCGATGGAAGTAAGCAGTATATGTTGAAATGAGAAGTACAGAGCCGTCTACAATGAAGAGTTGTAGGCCGTAATAGTAAGAAATTGACCAATCACAAGCAAAGTACAGAAGAATAATCGATTGTGATTTGTCAGTTTCTTACTGTTACAGTCTAAAACTCTCCATTGTAGACGACCCTTAACAGAGAGAAGCCTGAGAGCGACGTCCCATTGAGCGGAAATCTATAGCGGAACGGAATTTGCGGAACCAGCTCGACCAATCGTAACCACAGAATAAGCAAAGGAAAGAAAACGGAATGGCTATGATTGGTCGAGCTGGTTCCGCACATTCCGTTCCGCTATATATTTCCGCTCAATGGGACATCGCCCTGAGAGCGGCCATGCCATTGTAGTTTTTTACGACGGTTTCAGCCGCTGGTTTTAGCCGTATTTCCACAAAAGTGGAACTCAAAGGCCGTTCTACATTAAACGCAAGAATCAGATCTCGTGGAATTGACCAATTGCAGAGTCAAATCAGCCAATCGACCAACGTGATTGATCAGTTCCACGAGATTTGCGACTTGAGTTTCATGGAGAACGGCCTTTGAGTTCCACTTTTGTGGAAATACGGCTAAAACCAGTGGTTGAAACCGTCGTAAAAAACTACAATGGCATGGCCGCTCTCAGGCTTCTCTCTGAGCTTAGCTAAGAAACAGTTCTAGGCTGCGTTCCGATATTCATTGCTACAGTCAGAGAGAAACCTGAGAGCGGCCATCCTAATGTAATTTTTTACGACGGTTTCAGCCGCTGGTTTTGCCGTATTTCCACAAAAGTGGGACTCAAAGGCCGTTCTACATTAAACGCAAGTATCAGATCTCGTGGAATTGACCAATTGCAGAGTCAAATCAGCCAATCGACCAACGTGATTGATCAGTTCCACGAGACCTGCGACTTGCGTTTAATGTAGAACGGCCTTTGAGTTCCACTTTTGTGGAAATACGGCTAAAACCAGCGGCTGAAACCGTCGTAAAAAATTACTATAGGATGGCCGCTCTCAGGTTTCTCTCTGCTACAGTACTGAACATCTATACTTCACGTCACATGTACTATAGATTTCCAGTACTAGTGAATATCGGAACGTAACCCTAGTCAGCAACATCTATCGTCACGAAACGTGGCAGCGTTGCTAACTAATGACTACCAATAGCCACGCACTTCAACCAACGTCAACCAATCATCACATCTTTTTCGCCGTCCCGCCATGCACTGCGACGGAAGTAACGAGGAAGCAAAAGAGATATTAATCGTTGTTACGCGTGCAAGAGGTCTCTTTGTTGCTGGCCTTTACAGTGCGCGGTTGATGTGAGTAGGCGCACACGGCAAGGAAGTAAAACATTTCTGTAAGAAGTGTTGGTCTGAGCACGCGACGCGTAGTCTGAGAAGAGTAGTCAAAAGCATTTACGGACAACAATGGCCGGAACAGAGACTTCGAACGTGAAGTCGGAACCGACGAACGCTCCAGTTGAGAATAGCAACGAAAACCCGCGTGAACGAAACCAACCGGGCGGCGGTAATCGTGGAGCTCGTGGTCGAAAAGGAGGCACTCGCTTTTCCGGTGGCCGCGGCGGAATTGGCGGTGGCGGTGGCAACAGAAATAACGATGCAGTAAGTTTTTTTTTATCTTTCATACTCTACTAACATAGACAGTAAACTCTAACATAGCAGAAGTAACACTTCCGTTAGATCGACCGATATCTCTTGCTCTTTCTCTCCCTCTCTTTCTCACTCTTATGAAGAATGTATAATTTTATGTGTTCGTTAATCAATACGTTTTAAGCACTAAGTTTTTTTTGACTCAAGGTTATCAGGCAAAATTTGCGCTTGTTCTTGATCCCTCAAGTATATATACTATCATGTAGCTCAAGAGAGCACTACATAGACATCGTATCGTACAACAGTACAGTGTAGCCGAATAACGCTACGCCGTACCGTATCGGCGCCATGTTGATAATGAGTATAAGACTGGAAACACGAAAATGTAGAATAATACAATTTAAGCAGTGAGCGAATTAACCGATTATAAGCAAGCTTTGGAAAAAACGTTCAAAACGTTCTTTACATTAAGTTAATTACTTGTCTGAGGCAAATGGTTACTTTGCTTACTGCTTACATTTTTTCGTATGTCCCTGGCCTAAAGGCAATTACATGATTATATATCATAAAAAAACATACATAGTGAAGCAATTAATTACAAACCAGCATTAACATACGTCCAAGAGAATACCTATCGATTTGCTTACTGATGAATGCATTCGAGAAGATTCGTTATCAGCGCTAAAGCCTGGTTTAAGGTCATTGCACGTGACAAAATTTTAGTCGTAGTAGTAAAGTCGTAAATAAATCGACTAATTACAGGCCAGCAATCTAGCTAATGTAAGATAATATTGTCTGTAATTAGTTGAAATTCTTACGATCTTACAATTACGACTAAAATTTTTTCACGTGCAATGACCTTTATGCAAGCAATCATTATAATTTATGCCGGAATATAATTAACATATGAATGAACAATGAATGTATAAACGACAGTTTTGAAATTCCATATAGTTGAACTTAACATTTGTTAGTTCCGGTATATAATGACGCTTAGTTTGTGCCGTAACTTATGACGCTATTTTCTCATTTTACATCTATAGCAAACTTTCGCAACAGTTTTTACTTGCAATTTTTATTCTAACAATAATAAAGCAATTTTTTAATTTAAAGTAGTAAAAAAAACAATTATAAAAACAAAATAAAATAATAAATACTAATCTTTTTTAAGTAGAATATATACAGATATCATTTTTTAAAATTGTAGTAAGTTATTAATTAATATAACAACAGTTTTAAATATTCGTGAAAATCTCAAATTAAGTATTATTATTATTAGGGTTGATACGAGCTTATGTGCTGGATGTTCGTGCAAATATGAATATATCTTTAACTTTTTTTAAACGTGTAAATTAATACACATCGAAACATTTGATGGCAGAAAGCGCGCGCGGACCCGAGTACACCATAGGGTGTGTTTTGCCGAAGTTAGACCTGTTCTACAATACAGTCGTAAGCCGTAAGTCGTAAGAAATTGACCAATCACAATCGATTTTTCTTCTGTGATTTATTTGTGATTGGTCAATTTCTTACGACTTACAGCTTACGACTGTATTGTAGAACAGGCCTTAGCGCTACGTAGCGGCTTCATGTAGCAGTTGCAACTGCTTACAAAAATGGCGGCCACTACTTAGAACATGCTGCGCGTAGCAATACTGTCCAGCAGAAGTAACGCAGCAGTTGCAACTGCTACATGAAGCCGCTACGTAGCGCTAACTTCGGCAAAACACACCCATAGTGGAGAGGATCCAAACGCAGCAATTGCGTACTAATAACGAAACAATTTTTTAATACTGCTATACTGCGTTCAATTTAAGAAGAGAATTTTACTGCGCGTAAGAAAAGAAAAGCGGGCAAAGTAGGGATAGCGTTGCGTGCGGGATGGAACACTTGCTGACAGCCAATGGTTGTGGAGTAAGGAGACTTTAGTAGAAGAGATGTGCAAAACGAACGAGTTTTCGTCTATCCGGTTTCTCTTGTCAAATTGAACGCAGTATAGTATTGGCAGAGAGAAATCTGAGAGCGGCCATCCTATTGTAATTTTTTACGACGGTTTCAGCCGCTGGTTTTAGCCGTATTTCCACAAAAGTGGGACTCAAAGGCCGTTCTACATTAAACGCAAGTCGCAGATCTCGTGGAATTGACCAATTGCAGAGTCAAATCAGCCAATCGACCAACGTGATTGATCAGTTCCACGAGATCTGCGACTTGCGTTTAATGTAGAACGGCCTTTGAGTTCCACTTTTGTGGAAATACGGCTAAAACCAGCGGCTGAAACCGTCGTAAAAAATTACAATAGGATGACCGCTCTCAGGTTTCTCTCTGGAATTGGCAGTGTATAGGTACTTTTTCATACAGGCTGTGTTCCAAATTTACTTCCAGCACGCTGCCAGTGCTAAAATTGTATAATATATGTGACGTAAACTATAGATCTTTAGCGCTGGCAGTGAATTTTGGAACACAGCTACAGCAGCACGCTGCGGCAGCAAGACGTCATGTGACTGAAATTTCCTAGGACTGCTTCCGCTAGATATATTTGCTGTTCTTATCTAACTCTTACTCAATACCATTCTCTGCCAAGTTCAAACGAATAAAAAGCAGCAAAACCGAGAAAATTTTATTGTTAATACTTATGCAATAACCTAACCTAACCTATATAATTTCATCAACAACAAAGAATGGCATCGAATGAGGGTTAGGTAAGAGCAGCAAATTATACCTAGCGGAAGCAGTCCTAGAAAATTTGAGTCACGTGACGTTTTGCTGCTGCAGCGTGCTGTTGTATGAAAAGATACCTTATATCGAAACACTTAGAGTTGGTTTATAATTGTTTTAATCGTTAATTTAGACCGCTACCGTGAAAGTTGGAAGATAGAAAATGCGTACTTCTGTATTCGTACTTCACAATTCAATTATAAACGGTAGTACGTATTTACTATCTTCCAACTTTTACGGCAGCGGCCTAAGTTAGCGGGTAATTATAAATCAACCTTTACTATGAGATTAATCACGTCACTATCTTCGATTTGTTCTTTTTCACTAAATTGCACTAGTTCAGAGTTTTTTTTTGCCTTAAATGGAAGAAAAAAAATAAACTCTGAATTAGTGGGTGCATTCAGAAGCACGACCGCTCAGAGGTACATTCTAAAATCCTACACTAGTAACCAAAAACTATAGTACACGTGACGTAAAATATAGCATTTTAGTAACCAAGGTAGGATTTTGGAACATACCCTAGTGAGCAGCCTAAGTAACAATCAAATGTGATTGGTTTAGATTAAAATAAGTGCCAATCACAGTCAATTGCTACTTTGCCGCTCGTGCTTCTCGATGCACCCAGTGTGATCATTTCAGCAAAAAAGAATAAATCATTTAAATGATCGTATTTGTTGCAATACATTTTATTCTCCTCCTTTGAGTTTCACTTCTAGTAGCAAAGAACTTTTTTCATATAAGTATTTTTATCTCTATAGAAAAAAACAACGGAAAAAAAATATGGTAGAAAGTCAACCAATCTCAAACAATCGATTTTGTTCCAATTTTAACAATTCGTTCAGATAAAACAATTTTATGGAACTGAATCATCGTGATTGGTTGTGATTCTTTATCATAACTTTTTTTTGTTGTGCAAAAAAGCAGAAAATAGCATAAAATTCAGCATAATTAGAAGATATGGAAGAGAAGCCTTAATGTTTTTTTTTTCAATAAATGTCTAAAAACAATCATATTTTTTACAGATGAAAATAAATGATTCTATAGATGGAGGCATAGATTTAATGTCTGAAAGTAAAAGCGGCATGAGTGGTGGTATGAGCATGGGTCGAGGTGGAGGAATGCGAGGTGGAAGAGGAAGTGGTCGTGGAGGTATAGACAGAAACATGGTCAACAGATCACAAGATGTAAGTATATATTTTAAAGTCTTTATTTTCTTGTCGCCATGATGGTTGGTATATTTGTCTTGACTATTATTTTTAGGATCGCTTGATGGAACGCATTATGGCTATTAGTGGACCTACTCATGAATTACAACCGCAAGACACAACAGAAAAAAAGTTCAGTAGCAGAAATCGTTTATACATTGGAAACTTGACAAATGATGTGACTGAAGAAGAGATACAAACTTTGTTTCAAAAATATGGCGAAATATCTGAATTATTTGTAAATAAAGAGAAAAATTTTGCTTTTCTCAAAATGGTAAGTACCAACTACACATTATTTAAGAAGTAACAATATTGTTATATAAAACTTTTGTATTGTGATTATAATAGTTACCATTTGATGTACTGTAATGTTAATTATGACTGCATAACTTTGGTGATGAAGAAATAATTATTAGTAAAATAGCACATATTTTGTAATGGAAATGTAAGGAATAGTTCTTTTTCTCTTTAGGACTATAAAGTAAATGCTGAAGCAGCAAAACGCGAATTGGATGGTTCAATGCGCAAGGGTCGTACATTAAAAGTGCGATTTGCTCCTAACTCATCTACAATCAAAGTAAAGAATCTTACACCTTGGACATCTAATGAACTTCTTGAGAGAGCTTTCAGTGTGTTCGGCGAAATTGAACGCGCGATAGTTAAAGTCGATGAACGAGGTAAAACTACTGGCGAGGGAATTGTTGAATTTTGTCGAAAGTCGTCGGCTCAAGTGGCTCTGAGGAAATGTACAGAAGGATGCTATTTTATTACAGCGTAAGTAATTAAACATTTTCGATTATTTTCTAGATAAATCCCCGATGCCACGCTTGTTTGATGTATTTTATTCTGCAAGTGCCAATAACAAATATTGGGGAATAGGAAATAGTAGTTTCATATAGGAAACATAGTGGATAAATTTCATTATCACTATGTGCAGACAAATGAAACACAAAATTTCTTAATTAAAAACTTACATTTTAAAAGACAAAAATTTAAAATTATATAGTTTATATTACACAAGTTTTTGTTTTATTGCAGTTCTCTTCGACCAGTTGTTGTGGAACTGTTTGAACAACAAGATGACGTAGATGGCTATCCTGATAAGAGTTTGCCACGCAAAAATCCCGAATTTTTCAAAGCTCGTGACATAGGACCTCGTTTTGCGCAGATAGGTAGTTTCGAACACGAATATGGAACAAGATGGAAACAGTTGCACGAATTATATAAACAAAAAGAAGAGGCACTTAAACGAGAAATGGCAATGGAAGAAGAAAAGCTAGAGGCTCAAATGGAATTTGCTAGATATGAACATGAAACGGAACTTCTGAGAGAACGTATGTATTCTAATATTATCGCATAAAATTTGTAGCTTTATAATATTCTAAATAATCACATTTACATTAAAGAACTACGTATGCGCGAAGCTGATCGTGAAAGGCAAAAGAGAGAATGGGAAATGAAAGAACGACAAGCCGAAGAACAGAGGACCCGTGAAGAAGAGTTGAGACGACGTCAGCAAGAAGAAATGACCATACGTATTAGAAGACAAGAAGAAGAATTGCATAGACGTCAACAAGAAAACAATTTGTTTATGCAGGTAAGATACAGAAGCAAAAGTAATTGTGTGTAAGAAATATATATAGAACATAATATATAGAAAACTTTATGTATTTTGTGATATCTTTTGTGCGATAAAAAAACTTTTATTTATTATTACATACAACTGTATAATGTAACATGATTATACCAATTACCGTTTGATATATTATGATATGAACAATGGCTGCATAACTTTATGATGAAATAACAATATTATTATTAGATAAATATCAAACATTGTATGTTTTTTCTTTTTATATTTTTTTTATATTCCAGGAACAGGCAATCCGTAGTGGAAAAAGTTATGATTCTGTCGCTAGCACTGATCGTGATGGATATGGCCAACCTGATGGTGAGTAATATAATTTTTGTAAAACAACTTGATATACCTATGTGTGTACAAATGAAACTTCTGTTTATTTTGCAATGTTTTATATGATTTTACACATATAAAGTGTCTGAAACTTTTAGTGTGAAACTTTTTAGTGATTTCGGCCTCTTAGGGCCGAATCACAGACTCTTGCATAATGCATAACGCTTAACACTTGAGAGAATTAACCAATCACAGCCTTCTAGAACGAGAAGTGGAGATGAAAATGGAAGACTGAATTGGTTGATTTTCTTATATCTAATAAGTTATGCATTATGCAAAAGTTTGTGCTTCGGTTCATAAGCCATAATTTGAGCCATGTGGTGACGTCACTTTCGTTCGTGAGACTTTTATCACTTTACACTAAATTCAAATCGAGAAGAGAATCTTACTGCGCATACGAGAAGAAAACCGGCCAAAGTAGAGATAAAGGTTGCGCGCGAGATTGGCGGGATACCCACTGACGAGTCAATGACTGTAAAGTGGAAGGGGGGGGGGGCTTTCTGGTAGAAAAGATGCGCGAAATAAACGAGTTTTCGTTCATCCGGTTTCTCTTTTCGATTTGGAACATATATGTAATACACTCCTATATACATGAGGTGCGTTCGCTTTGGACGCTTACACGCTTTGAACATCAGTCTATCTTTGTTCTATATTTAAAGAGCAGTGAAGAGATTCAAAACGCATAGGCGCGAATATATCTATGCTAGCAAGAGACTCAATCTCTCTCATTCTAAAGAAGAGTGGAGGAATAATAAAAGACGAGACTCTTGAGAAAAGCCAAACGATTGGCCACATATATTTACCTAAGTTTGGTCACGATCTTTATTTGTCCAAGCTAACGAGTTTTAATGTAAATGTAATATATTCTTACATTTTAATAAAAATGGTTTTTTATTTTTACAGGTGGAAGCAGCATGGCAGTGGTAACGTATCATTTATATATTGTCTCGTTTATATAATATTTTTATTACACAATATTCAGTTTGTTTAAATCAATTTTTTTTTAAATTTTCGAATATAGGATAGATAGGACCTTGTTATTTTTTTCAGTCCAAACGGCAATTTAGAAAAAAGTTAAAAGTAGAGTGACTATGACTCTCATCATAGCGCGAAAAGTTATAATTTATATATGTGAGAATAATTGCACTTACGATATACCATGAAACCTTTCTTTTCTGAACAACTGGAATAACTAATGACATTCTCTTTTCTGTCATCCTTCCACTCTCAACAGCATATGCGCAAAATAAAAATACAACATATACTCTGTTTAAGAGAATATTCTCAGAGCATATAAAAAATCCGTCCGTTTCGCGCACATCCTCTATCAGGAAGTATAGGACTTGTAGTAAATAGAAAGAGAATATATCGACGCGCGCGAGCTATGATCAATCCAAAGGACAGAAGTATCTTTCTGTCCTGTTCAATGACTATTCTTCTTCATGTCTACACTCCGCCAATCAAAATTTTGATATGCCCCGCCACATGTTTATACTGTTCAAAATCGAGAAGAGATTTTACTCGATGCATAGAGGAAAAAGCAGTGGCTAAAAAAACTATAAAGTGAGAGAACTTTCTAATAGGGAAGATGCGCAAAACAGACGAGTTTTTGTCTATACGATTTCTCTTTTCGATTTAAATTCAGTATATATCTGATGCTTTTTAGTTGACGATACAAATCGGACATAGGAGTCATTTTGTTCTTATTCAATATTCAGTGAGAAGCAAAGACAGAATGACTTGTGTCGACTTGTGTTGCCAACTGGAAAGCATCCATCGTTTTTATTAATTTTTACAAAAAGATTTGTTGCTATATACATATATAAAAGAGATTGTATCAATTTTTCATAAAATGGTTCGATATTACATTTTGTGTAATCGTGACAAAACAGGATCTTACTACAAGTAAGTGAATGTATTATACAGCTTTTAAGTGTTTTTCTTCTTCAATATCACAGTTCGTCGTAGTTACTTCATATTTTAAAAGATTAGAGAGAACTCAATAATAATTAAAACACCGCGTCTCACTTGACACATGCGCAAAAACCAAGAAAAAAATCACCGAGTAGGACAGAAATATATCTTCTGTCTCTCAGATGTTGCTCACTACTCATTGTTTGCATAATAAGCTATTCCTGTTCCATACTATAAATTCTATGCCAGAAAGTCCCTCCACTTCACAGCCATTGGCTGCCAGCGTGCAACGCTATCCTCACTTTGTTCGTTTTCCTTCCGTTCGTTCGTACTTCCTTTATGCACAAACTGAGGATATTCTCTCTTTAAACAAAGTATAGAAAGCAGAAATGAGCATGTAACATAACCTCCAACTATATGTATGATTCATATTTGTTGTCGCAAAGTAGAAAAAAAAAAAAAAAAAAAAAAAAACAGCAGGAGAAGTTCAGAAAAGAAGCATCAAAGATAAAAGTAACGAGGTCCTATTGTAGTGCAATTTTGAAATATATCCTAATGCGTGTATCACACACTGTATTTCTTACAGTGAAATATTACTTTTTGCATGATAAGATGCCGCTATTTGTGCGCTATATACGCACCATAAAGTTAAAAAAAATTAAAAGAAACTCTTGTACCCTCAACTGAGCATGCTCTTCAATATAAGCAGAGTTATAATGTCTGCAAAAGTTGATAAGTTCGTTATCTTTGCTTTTAATTGATATGAATTTATTGAAATATAAAAATCGGTGTTTGATAATAGTAACATGTGGAGGAATCAATGATTGTGCACAATATATTAGACTGACAATACATCTTTATTACATATGTGGGATGTTAATACTTTCACAGAGTGAAATTTAATTATATATAAATGGATTTTCATTAATCAGCATTAAAAATCTGTAAATAGCCACTTCTACTCTATCCAACTGACATATTTTTGTCTGTACATTGATGATACGCTTTCGTTCTTGCATCTTCAAAAGTTGCATGAATAACTCATATGACTCTGCTCCCTTTCTAAGGTGCGAAATCTTTTATTAAAAGATAAACAAACGAAAATACAAACAGCGTGATTCACGACGTGAATTTTAGTGCAATATTAGAGCAAAGTTAATGACTCGTAATTTGATTTACATAGCAGAAGTACTCTGCTAGTTATCTATTAAAGCTGCTAGTAAACATCAAAGCTAAAAAATAACGGTGATAATGAGCATTACCGTTAATTGATCTCGACATGTATGTGTAACAACTGGCTTTGGTATAACAATTACTACTGGCGATTTAGGGAAACACTTATAGAAAATACTCTTAGGTAATATTTCTGATCCTTTAATTGACTTATGATTATGCCACATGTGGCTTATTATATTGAGATTTATATCTATATATGGACTCTTATACCTCCTGAAACTGAAAGAAGAGATTAGACTTTTAAATATAACTGCCACACTGGTCTCTCCACATGATTGCAGACAGGATGCTCTGTAGCCTATTAGTTAAGATCAATTTTGTTTACTATGGAACTTAAAAATATTTATAAGTATACATATACATATATATACATATATATGTATATATATATATAAAAACACAGTAGTAATTGCAAGGTTGTTCTATCATCGGAACTGTTGTTAGAATATGTTCGCGCAACTAGATATCTACTATTTCTTATGGGAAGGTATTATACTTTTGAGAACTATTTTGAAAGCAAGTTTTACAAATTTGTTTTTCGTAAATGAAAATATTTAAATCCATTAGGTTAGGTTTTATATACATGTTTAATGATTTTTATAAAAAATTATATTTTTACCCCTTATATACGATCCTAAACATACAACAGAAACATTATTTATTAAGATTCCTTGATACTTCTGCGGCTATTTTAGATTGGTGATATCAAAAGTTAGGAAAATACGCAAAACCTTTGTGCATCTTTATGTGAAAATAAGAGATTATTTTTATACAAACGTACGTAAAATCAATAAATAAAGCGGTAAAATATACCGGAAACTCAAAAATAAAAGAGAGTCTTCTGGTTCGTAACGGAAATTCCAAAATCCAATTTAAGAGGATGCTGAAACGACGGCCGAACTTCGATTCAGCTGTCGTTCAGCTGCTTTCAATAGATAGCGCTCTCTAATCGGATAAATGACATGATAGAGACGAGGATAAACGTATGTGTTTCTCCGACAGTTTTGCTAAAACTGCACTATCACATTTTCTCTTCTTACAAGTTTCACAATTCTTTTCTAAAACACTAAAAATATTTGTTTATATTACTAGAATGGCCTGGAAAAAATTTCTTGTGATTCGTACCGCCAATTTTTTATACGAAGTGAAAATGTTGTCTACGTGGCAACAGTCTATAAACCGCTTTTTTGTTTTTCTTGTTGATTTTTGTCCAGGCCATATTTGAGCATATTCTTTTTTATTCCGGAGAAGCGTTTTTCATTTTGATCAATAGATACAGAATAAGTTGTGCAAAAAACATGTTGGTAAAACAGGACGATTCAGCATCTTAATTGAGAGTTTCGTCAATACTGAGTCAATTGTCCGGTACAAATTGCTCGACTTAAATTCGATTTTGAGATATCGGAAACTCTTCTTTCGGCTCAACAACAAAATCTCGATTAAAGAATTAATCGAAACGTGAACTTGTCACAGATTTTGCAGTTGCCGAATTATGCTTTGATTTTGCATTTCTTACATTAAATCACACTCTAAACAAAGTTTCCGATATATTTTACAGGTATACTTTATCGAGAAAATTGCTTGATTTATGATCGTTAAATACAGTAGTTCCCTGCTAACGGTCCGAATTTTTCCCTCGTTATTGTGCCGCGAGTCATCCCCACCAATTCCTAGAAGTTCTTCGCCGAGGCTTCGCGTAAATTAATGGGGATGACTCCGCGGCGGTCGAGCCAATCAGAGATAACAGCCGGCAATTCTCGGAACAATACCTCCCTCGACATTGTCCGCTCGCGGAATCGAGGAAGGAACAATGTTAACGAGGAACTACTGTATTTTTATTTCCACACAAAATCGAAATAATGTTTCGGCATGTTTTTAAGCCGCTTCAAGCTGTTTTTTTTTTTTTATAGACGTGAGTTATTCATTATGCTTACACTTTTTGCACTTTATTTCTTTATGTTTATATAAAAATATATGAACATACATATTTATCTTATTTTAAGTGCAAAAAGCAACGCAAAAAACCTCGTGCTATTTATGCCTATTAGTTCTCGCGTCGACACCACCGTCACTATTGTCAAATCAAACTTGATGCTCAGGTATCGACGAGCCTTAAACAGAGCGTGTTACAAAAATCTTGTTCACACTGTTTTAAAAACCGCTACTCTTTTGCTGATCTCTAACACTAACGATTCAGGGTTTATTTTAATCCATACACGCATATATTACAGTTATATATAGTTAGAAATAATAAAATAAATTATAGTCGCAATGTTTAATAAAATAGCGGTTAAAATAACATACAAACTTTTTTACAATTTTTTTTTACTTTGCAAAAAAATTCTTTAAAATTTTAGAAAATAATAATCTTATGTTTAACTACAGGTTTAGTATCCAGATAGCCAACTGAGTGCAAGTTGTTGGCAACTTGCCACAAATATTACTCATAATTTTTCAGCAATGTAACAAAAGGGTGTATTCTCTTTTCAGTACGTTCTTGCCAGCAACAGTTTTTAAAATATAATAACAGCAAGTTCCCAACAACTCATCGGCAATAAAAATCATTGCTCACATATTTTTCACATATTGCTGACTCACTTGTCATAAACATTGGCTACAACAATTGATTGACAATAAAACTCAGCATATTGATATTGAATTGACAAAAACATTTTTGTTGCATTGAATAAAAACAACACAACAGCAATTGGCAAGCAACTTAATCTATACAATGATTTGCTTTATATTGAGTTTTCACATTTGACTATCTTGG